CGGAATGAAGTCGTTATTTGTTTGATTGTGTTTTGTTTGTGATGATGAACAAGACAATGGCAAGACTTGAAAACAAAGTCAATGGAAGTGAGTTGCCAAACAAACCTACCAGACGCAACAGACAGCTACCTACCTTAGGTAGGGAGGGAGGTGAGGCAGTTGCCTTCAGTTCCGTTCGGTTAGGTTTACTGGCAAAAGGGACGGGAAGGTACCTGCCAGGCTCTTCCACCTTACACAATCTGGGCTGAGTCGGGCAGGTACATAAGCAGTAACAAAGTCAGTAAAACGCTACCTCAGCTACCTAATGAATGCAGCCAGAACCTATATGACGCTTCCCAGTAAGAAGATTCCCCGGTATAAGTCATCTCCCTTCTAGAGCCTGAGAGTCCGTTTGGTGAAGTATTTCAAGTTTAATTCCTTCCATATGGCTGACAATCTGAACAATATGTCATGGTGTACTCCGTACACACGGAGTTTATTCTCAGCGGGTGATAAGCAAAAGCCACTGGTAGGTAACGTAGAAAAGGTGGCGGCTGTGGAAGCCGGCTGTGCCGCTTCCAGGCGACTTGGCCCAGACCAAGCAGAAGAGAAGACCCCAGCGGCGCAAGCCATCTGTTTGGGACACTGTCTGTCGACTAACTAAGAGAAAGCTACCTATTGAATATGGGGAACTACTCATGACTAGGATAAACATGATGAACAACTTTGGTCCAATCTCTGACGGATGAATTATTTACGATATCATTTTCAGCGGCTCTCAGATGGATTGCTCTTTTGGCTCTCCTGCTTAGGTACACTATTACGCTGTATTCATGAATCAGCGAGCCACTTACACGAAACGTATCGTATTCTACCTACCAACCAATCCAACATAGTAGGTAAGCTATAGCCAATAGTTGCGTATCCAGCACATCTAAGGGTCCTCAACTGGCATGCACCCCTCAAGATCTCATCACTGGTACGCCCCGGAGCTTGTTCCTGAATCCCCAAAGTTCCACCGAGAAAAAGGCACAAGGAACACCCTCTCCCAACGGTCTAGTACGGCCGCTCACACACCGATACATCGGATATATCCCGCACAAGACCACGGATTCGCCCACTTGCATACATTCAGAAGGTCCTTACAACTCATCAACGACATGTCTCTCCCCACTGTCTTTATAGACCAGACCGGACCAGACCAACAAGCCAAGTCCCAATCTAGCGTACTCCAGACTTCGCCTCAAACCCCCTGGTCAAGTGTGACCTCTTGGGGGAGGTTTTGGGATACAATGGTAGGCTCTGCTGATGTGCTTCGCCCCAATTGACATTTGGAATAAGGTTAACGGGCCAAGCCGAATCGAGTCTACGCCGTTCCCCGGAGCAGTCACCCGCAGATTCCTCCCTTCAAATTGAGAATGTGAGAAAGATGGGGTAACGGAGAAATTTGTAGATAGCCTCAGTGCCGAGAGCTAAGATTCTTCGAATGAGCGTGACAAAAAGGATGCTCAAAGTCTCATGAAGCAGAAGAAAAAAAAAACGACATTCATCATAACTTGTAAATATGAGAGTATCTAATAATTTCATCCAAGTATGAAGCAACCTTTGGGCGGATCCTGGAGCTGGACGCACCGCCAGATTGTACTCCCACAAGTTCCATCACAAATTCCTGCCTAATACGGATATCCTTAAACGGCTTGGCTTCTGACTATGCCTCTCATCGCTAGTATACAAAGGTATCACTCACTCATAGCACTAACAAATCACCATTACTGCCAGCACCCTGAGCTGGTTGAAGAACCGCTTGAGGTGCATGTGCGCTCACCACGTATCCCGTCGAGTGGCCATTACCTCCTCCAAAGACATCATCCCCTTGGTCATGCATCGGCTGCATCTGCTGCTGCGTTCCGATACTTGAAAAGTAGGCATCTGCGTCGTTGACTGCTTGCGCGAGGTCCCCTTGGCCATTGCCTGATGTTGGGTTTCGGCTTCTTGGATCAATATCAGTTGCCGCTCCGGCGTTGCCAAACATGCTTATGCTCTTTTGGCTGTCTGCAGCAACAAGAAGGTTTTGCTTCTGCAATGCGGGAGAGTCCTGGAGTTTGCGAGGTCGAGCAGATCTAAACACGGTCTGCACTGGCTTCAAATAGACCGTGGCTAGAGTTCCCACGTTCAGACACATCTCCTCTAGCGTTGTCGAATCCAGTCTTTCTGACTCAGCGGTAATGGCTGGCTTCTCCCCCATCACGATCTGCTTCGCCGCATTCATATCTGTAGACAACAAGCGCCAGTACATATACGCTCGGTCTCGCAGATCAGGGTTATCCGTCTCTTCAGTTGCCCACTTCAAAACCTTGGGGACCAATTCTTGACCCTTGGTTGGTCGCTGGATGAATAGCTTTACTGTAGCTGTGAGCAAGGCCAACTGCACTTCGACAGGCTCCTCTGCGAACGAGTACAGGAAGTCTTCTAGCAAGGCGTCGCTGTTCTCAATCCGATCTGCGTATTGGCCAATGACCCAAACCATGGCTGCTTTAGCCTCGGGTTCATCGAGAGAATCCAGATGCTCGCACAGAGTGCTGATGATGGACTCATATTGGTTGGGATACTTTCGGAAGATATTTCGGATAACCACTGTAGCTTCCTGCACGATATATGTGATCTTGGTTGCTACAAGCTCGAGGAGCAAGTTGATGCATCGTCGTGCAGCTGGCTCAATTTTAATTGCCAACTTGCCGATAGCACGCACTGCCTTGCGGACGAAGTGGACGTCAATTTCAGTGGCGTATTCTCGCAATTCCGTCAACACCTCATCGATATTGTCCTCATTGGCAAGCATGAAGATAAGTTCCAGCTTTGTGACCTTGACATAAATAGGATCGTTGTACTTGCAGAAAAAGACACGGATATCGTTTCGGAGCACTTCCGGTCGTCGCTGGAGAATCAACAAAGCATTGCGCAAAGCGAGGTACTGAACTTCAGGACCCTTGGCGAGAAGTGTAACCAGGGGTGGTGATAGCTTCCTGCAGAGCGCCGAGATTTGCTTCTGATCGGCGATGTAATTCATCAGATACAGAATCACCCGAATGCAGGTCAACACGACTGACGAATTAGAATGCGACAGTCGTGGTGATATTCGTTCCGCTAGGAGTATCGCTTCTCCGGATTCTTGTGGCACATAGGACATGAGAGCCTCTAGGATATATGTCTGACCCCATCTGTGGACACAAGATTAGCGACAATTACACAAATGTGCTGCGATTGATCTTACTCGGAGCAATCAGGGAGAATGGCCACCATCTTGGAGGCATTGCTATAGTCAATGGTAAGTTTGATGGCGTCACTGCGTTCCCAGATATCCATGAGTCCAGCCAGAGCGCTCGCAACAACTGTGGGGTTGTCATCCCGTAGCAAAGAGTTCAAACGATCAATGAGGTCTGAGTTCTCTACCATATGACGGTCATGGTCGTAAAGTTTGGCAACGCAGAAGGCAGCCGTCTTTCGCACATACGGATCATTGTCCTTCAGCATATGCTTGACTATTGGTACAGTAGCCTCAACAAATTCTCTGACATGAATGTAGGACATTGTTCGGAGAGCCAGTGCCCGTACCAAAGGATTGTGGTCTTCCATATCCTGAACTTCGTCAGTACTACTCCTAGAGTGGTCATAGGCAAACTGACATGTTCTAGTACAGGGATTGCCTTTACGGCGATCTCAGGTCTTATCCTGGCATAGTTGACCAGAAACAAGAAGCACCTATTTGATATAAGCTTCTGAGCGAGTTCGAGATATCGAAATGCTTACATCTTCTTGATTTCCAAACTCTGGATACCCATGCATCCAATGATGTCGGGGAATAGGGCAACCATGTCATTATTACTCATAGTCATATTTGCAACGATCTTTTTGAGAGCAATCTTCTTGCCCGTATAGGCCTTGTCCTTTTTTCCTCCACTGTTAAGCTCGAGGCGTAGCTCGGCAACTTTGCCCTGCATATTGTTTAGTCTCGGGCCATCATAAAGTGACTTTGGGGGCATATATGCGAGAAACATGGCGGCCATCACATGGTTCGCGGCGCTGCGACACCATGTATCGACAGTGATATTGAACAGGAAATATGGTCTGATGCAACGAAGGCTTTTCGCGCATCAAGGTCTGCGCAAAAGCAGAAGGGGATAAAGGAGACACAAAGTCGAGTTTCAGTCAAGTGGAGGTTCAAGGACTTATAAGACCTCAGGTCCTACGAGGCTGAGACATGATAGAAGGACGGGAAGGCTTACTCGAGCAAACAATTTGGAGTCCCCTCCACCGGCGGAGCTCGACATGGTGTTGTACTTGTATCCCAAATAAAGACTATAAGGCGACTGGGACTGGGTTTCGGTAACGTTGAATGTGGAATAGTCGCCCTATACCTGACAGCCCCTCACTTTGAATTCTTCCAAGTATTTTCAACCGTCGTTTCGATATTCACAACCTCATTGGGCGGGGATGCGTTGCCCAGCGCAAAGAAAGTCGTAGAGGGTGGATGGTAAATGGGAGGGGATGGTCACATGTGCGCCAGATGACAACGGTTGTTTGCAAGGCGCTGTGATGTCGCTTCTCGACCGTGAATTATCGTTCCGAGGCTTCTTTGGACTCGGGGAAGCAGGGGAAGCGTAGGTTTCCTCGAATTTTGTTTGCGACGTTTATTGTGATCGTATTTCGAACGTTCACGTCTCGAATCGGCGGCGTCGGAGTTGGGAAAGGGGATCACTACCTAGACTCGAGTAATGTAAGCCAAATAGGTGCTGATAAGATAGTGGGTTGCAATTAAGCCGAAATTGCAGGTGCCACAGCTACGCCACATGTCGAATATGCCACATGGGGGTGGGCTACAGTCATCAACTTAACCCAATCAATCCACGTCAACGTTGCCGCCACGAGCTTCCTACATCAACCATTAAACATCCTTGCCTACGAACTTCAATCCCATATCTTCAATCTCTATCAGCGACTTTCGACAGCACACGCGATATATCATGGCTAGCCCTTCTGCCTCCCCTATCTGGGTCTCTCAACTCGAGAGCCCTCCTGCTGCCAAGTCCAAGCAATCTGGTGTTCAAGATCCTCCTGGCTTCAGCTCCGGAACGACCGTCACAAACTCTAAGGCACGCGACTTATCTATCGCGCGATCGATAAAGACCCAAGACTAACACAGAAAACAGAAGAACAAGGATGCTGCCAAGGTTCAGCCCCGCAAGCCCCCGACGACCTCCGAGATGGAAACCTTGAAGCTCAAAAAGGCCTGGGAAGTCGCGCTGGCTCCTGTCAAAGGCCTTCCCATGACCGCCATCATGATGTACATGTCGGGCAACTCTCTCCAGATCTTCAGCATCATGATGGTCTTTATGGCATTCAAGAACCCTTTGATGGGCTTGATGAATACGAACCAGGCCTTCGAACGCTTCCAGTCAGAGTCTCTTTCCTCCCAATTGTTGCAGGTCAAGTTTGTGTATGTGGTATGCCAGCTGGTTGCGCTTGGTGTCGGAATCTGGAAGATCAATGCCATGGGTCTATTACCGTAAGAGTTTATCTCTATATGCATCCTTCTTGCATTACTGACACTGTCTAGAACAACACGATCCGACTGGCTGATGTGGGAGGCGCAAAGAGAGCGCCTGGAGTTCGCTGTGGCAGCATTATAACCTGTCTATTGGTACGATAAATGACTAGATAAATAACTGGAGTTGAATAGCTATGCCGTATTCATTGCCTCTCGCTTTGCCTTGGCTGCCCTCCATCGCATACCTTTCTTGTCGACAAGTCTCAAAGCCGGGATCATGGCCAAGTTCAGCAAAGCAAGAAACGTGAAACACCACCCTCTACCCATTCCTGCGATCATGTGGTCAATAGCGGCCGTCGCTGCAGCTCCAAACATACATCGCACAAGGTTGTTAGCTGCAGTTGCTGTAGCTGGAGCATGTGGGTTAAGATCAACAATAAGGGTATTGAGAACACTGAATGAGGTTGGAACGAACATGCCGATAAGGAAGACAAGGACCAATGGTACAGCAACTGAAGTTTCAACTTGCAAAGCCCATCCATACCCAATAAGTGTCGCGATACCAGCGAGGAGCGTTGGATAGACCGGCTGGATTCGCGCAGTCTCGATTGGGAACTTGCCCAGATCATCTCCTCGCTTACGGTTGATAGTGAAGCCAATCTTCTTTGCAATTCGTCGATAGTTCCAGTCCAAGACGTATCCTTGACCAACAACGGCCAGCGCGCAGCCAAATCCATAAGGCAAATAGCAAAGACCAACCTGAAGATCGTTATAGCCGTACGTCTCTTTGAAGAGTGTTGATAGGGTAGCCGCCACTAAAATGAATGCCAGGTAAATGATGGCGTTGATACACAGAATAATAGCCATCTCTTTCTCAAAGACGATGTAAAGCGTCTTCAATGGGTTGGGAAACTTCAACTTTTGCTTCGGAATATTCTGGCTTGTAACATCTCCTCGGTGGCTGTAAAGATCAACCAGTGACCTGTTCCACTTCGGTGGTGCTATCGAGCCATTGCCAACGACTTTACGGCACGTCTCGGGAGCGGAGAGGATAAATGGGATCATCCAGACACCGGAGAAGATGGCACAGAACCAGAAGATAGCAGGCCATCCAAGGTACTGGCTCAGAATACCACCTAGGACTGGCCCGAGAGCAGGCCCAACATTGATTCCGGCCCCAACAATGCCCATATATTTTCCTCTTTCAGCTGTTGAGGATATGTCGGCAACCACAGAAAAACCAAGGGCCAAAGTTCCGCTGCTGCCCGCACTCTGAACACAACGAAGGATCAGTAGCGCAATAAAGTTGCGTTGCAGGGCTAATCCAATGTTTGCGCATATATAAATCAAGAAGGCCAGTATATAAGCGGGTCGACGCCCGGCCGTGTCACCGAAGTCGCCAAATATCGTGGGCGAAAGTCCCTGAAAAATCATGTACGATGTTAAGGTGAGGTTGACAAGTGAAACAGATATGTTCAAATCTTGGGCTATAGGGGGAATGGCGGGGAAGTATATGTTGGCCGTCATAGGTGAGACGAAGCTAGCTGCTGTGACCAAAGCTAGAATCCATCTTTTTGTGTTCTTCGAGAAAACGCTGTATGCTGGACCGCTTGAGACTCTGGTCATGCTCTCCGGGTCACCCATCATTGTCTCGTCAACTTGAGTTGCTGATACATTATGTGGCGGTCTGCCAAGTTTCTCGGTGCCATGGTTATCGAGACCTTCAAGAGTCTCCGACTCGGTGCTCTGTATGCTGTCATGGTCATGTCTCGGAGGGGTTTCGGTGTTGGCAGAGGGCTGGTTTTGGCTTTTGTCCTTCATCTCCGCTGAACAGAAGGATGGAATATACAACAAACATGATGAGACAGTCGCCGAGAACTGGAAGACAAGTCCTTTAATACTACCTAACAATTCGCCCGCGATCGGAGAACATTCTCCATCGGTGATAGAATATTTATTTCCGGTAATCCTGGCTTCTATTCCCGTAACCAACCGGTCTAGGGACCGCTCACGGACCCGGCGTGTCTCCACTTTATGCCGAGCTCCCCTCCGATCCGCCTCCTGTTGAGTCCAATTCTCAATTTCTTCGGCCTCGCCGTTAAATCGAAAGTTTTCAATGAAAATGGTACTCAAGCCCTTAATATATGGCTGATGTCTGCTAATTCTGTAATACCTTCCAGTCTTTGGACGTTGAATCAAGTCAACTTGATCAGTCCATCGCGCACCTTGAATGTGTGGAAGTTGAGAGATGATCTTTATTTATTAAAGTATTGCGAAGAGTGGAGTATTAGAGGGTCCGTATAAGTTTCGAATGATTGCAAATCATTACAAAACAGTAAAGAGGCTATAACAGTTGATGAAGCTTGGTTTGTTCGGCCTTCAAGCTTGAGCTCGATGACTAAGCCACGTGGAGCTTTCTTCGGAGTGCGTCAGAGCTTCATACCAATGCAGCCATGGTGTCTACAACAACCCTGGACCGTTATTGATGAGAGAGCTTGACTCGAATACTCAGACAAAGGTTCGAACCTCTCGACCGTAAAGCACACGCCGAAGAACTTGGGTTTGTCAACGGCTTATCCATCCAGCGAAAACGTTCGTGCTGGACTAATCCGGAGCACACGCCATGAATGTCACGGTCACTTTCAATGAGCTCCTGCGGGAACGAAATGCGCCGGAAACAAGAAAACGTGTCACATTGGATGCCATTGACGGTTTCTTAAAGGAAGCATATAGGATTGTAAGCCATGCGCTTCTGCTCGACCTCACTCCCAAAGCTGATAAGTATCTCTAGAATTCGCATATTACCAGCCTACATCGAGAGCTTCAAGATGTCCGACAAGCATATTTATCGACGGCGCAGCCACGAAAGACACATAATCGAGTCGCAAAAGAGCAAACACGGGTGCTTACAGATCGAGACCGAGAAGAAGTCGACGCCAATGCGAAACAGATGATCCGGGAGTTGAATGCTGGCATTCGTGCTCTCGACGAGGCTGAACAGTTACGGCGCGAGACCGAATCAGCTATAATCCGAAAGAAATATGGAGGCTTAGGAGCTTTTGGAGCATGGGCTTCAGGTGGCATAATCAGCAGCAAAACAGAGGAGCATGCAGAAGCTGAAGCCAAGGCACGAGATTTGGGAATTCATCGGGATAGTATTCTCTGGTTTTTACGGCAACGACTCGAGCTATGCTGTCGAACGCAACAAGAAATGATGGAAACACGTCTAAAGCGTGAGTTGGAGAAGAATCGCAGCATGCTTTCAAGATCAGGCGCCACCATTGCTGGAGACTTTGCGGAATTTCCTCCATCTGCCCGACGAAACTCCCAAACAGCCCCTGCTGCACCGATCCCTATGTCCGAAGACGGTCAGTTCCCGAGCCAGGGGTTGACAGAGGAACAGATCCAGATGTTTGAACAAGGGAATCAAGACATGATGAAGCATTTCGAGAATAGTTTGGACAAAGTCAGGTACGTGTCACATGTCGTCTCGATCTCCATCGGCACACTTTTGCTTGGTTGTATCTGCACTAGAGTTCCGAGCGCAAGCGCCACCCCATGGGGAAGGGAAGTTTATTCATGCATATGAGCTAACACTCGTACGACAGAACTGCTGAGAAGTCGTTACTAGAAATAGCTGAGCTGCAGTCACTTCTCGTAAACAACCTCGCCACACAGTCAGCGCATATAGATCAGCTCGTGGCGGACTCGTTTGCAACTACGGAAAACGTAGGCGGTGGCAATAAGGAATTAAAAAAGGCGACACAGCGCGCAAGCCCAGCAAAGTATACGTTCTTTGCGGCAAGTGGGCTCTGTGCTTTCCTTGTGCTTTGGGATCTGGTGTTTTGAGTTGGCAAACGAATAAAAGGGTGTGCAGACATACTGAAACCTAGACATTGATATCTGGGAGGGTGTGGGAGCCGCAACCAACTACATCTCTATGCTATATAGTAAGCAGATAGTCAAAGGCGGAGCACATATACGTGTCTTGTTATGTTCATCTTGGTAGTGCCTCAGGAACTCATGAGAAGTGCATGGTTTGAAGACAAACACCTCTTTGAGTTAGAACATATTCTCGCTTGAGATTGAATTGATCATAGGTGTAAAGAGTGAGGCCACCAGTAAATGAACGACCGAAACAATGAAGGAGTCTCGCAATGGTAAGGTATGTAAGTAGAACCCAGTGTACTTTGATGCACCCATTAAGCAAGGAACCCAAAGAGAGACATATGTATGGCTGATCAGAGGCAAAGGCCATGTATCAGTCTCAAAATAATGAACGGAATTTCCTCGCTGTATGGATTTCACACTTAGTACTATGTATTGGCCGTTGTACTTGAATGGTACTCTGCACCAAAACCCCCCGGCGACATCAGGAGATTTCATCTCACACCGGCAATCTTTCCATAGTATCTAAGATTCAAATTAGACATATTTGCTCGTTGAATCAATTGGCCTCGTCTTTCAGCTCTGGCCAGATCAAACATGCGACAATGCAAAGACATTCGATGCAGAATGTTCTGTTACCCAATAACGCTGGCGGGTAAACCGGGCCCAACGCCGGGACCCTCAAAGCCTACTAAGGATTCAGGGGCAATTCAAGATTTACAGTAGATACAGATTTCAATGGGAGATGAACCTCGCAAAGACCATTCCAATTTACAGAGTCAGTCATACGACTAATCAAATCCATCATGTTACGTTTTAGCCGGGCGAAGTCGGACGCGATCATGTAATAGGGCGCTGACGCTGGACCAGCTATTACCCAACAGTGCATTGTAAAGCCTCGTGATGTTTTGTCTAAGATTTTTTACTTCCCCGTGACAGGACGGTAACGGGGCGTCCGGGGCCGCCAGAGCCACCCGGTACATACTGTACTGGCAATGCCTGCGTGCTGTACAAGTAACCTGTCTAAGCTGGTAGGGAAGTGAATCGAAGGGGTCTGGAAGAATGAACCGGGTCCTTTTTTCCTTTTTTTCTGGGGAATGGATCCATTTGGAGTCTTGGTTAGTAGGGGAGGGGTTTGGGGAAGAAACTGGAGAGATTTTGACGCAAAATGTCGATCCAACTCAACGGTCATGAAACTTGGGTTAGCATGTTACAGTATGGTAAGTTATGGAGCAGCGAGAGCTAGCTAGAGCTATCATCCGCAATGTGAGATGAGATATTTGAGATCAGATTCAGACATGTGAATTCAAGGGACCACAGATCAGACCATAAGTGAATTAGGAACTTGATAATCAGTTTCAAAGGTTCACTCATGGATTCTCTCCGCAAAAATTGAACATGGGATCAGTTACTCGAACGGATAGAGACAGCACTACGTCAGCCTAGCTCCGTAATCCAAATCCACCGTCAACCATGCCAAGTAAAGCAACAAAATGTACCGAAGTGTACATACCTCGGTGAGGTTACGGTTGTCGGTCGGTCAGCTCCATTACGCGCGTGACGTTAGACTGCAAGCCGAGGTGACGCTCACAGGCCTAGGTATCGGCAGGCGATTACAACGGGGAGCTCTGGTATTGACGTGATGGAGCTTCACAAGCTTTTTCACAAGCTCGGGAAGTGATTTCGGTATACATACCTGTTTGAGGGCAAAGCATAAAAGATTAGATTGTCGCAATCCAAGGAAGAGATAACCATAGTTATTGAAATTCTGCGGCGAGCATAATTTAAAGGCCCGATCACAACTTTCTGCAACTGACGATTTCATCGTCAACTGTTTCACGATCTCTGCGCAAGTTCAACAGCTGTACTGTCGCATATTCAATCCTATCGCAGGTTCGTACTGCGTCTCAATTTGAACCGCACAAGCTTTCGAGTCCGACCGTCACGAAGCACCATTCTTCGACTGTTATCATCGCCTGCTCAGGCATCGAAGACCAAGCCTATTTATATACGAAACAGCTTCAAACAGACCAGCTACCCGTTGGGATCGTCTGGGAAAAGGGCGAGGAAACTCCAGGAACCACAGAGGTACAACAGCTTCAAAGGTGAGTTGTCAATTTCTTCACAAACGCAAGAGGAAGTTTCCTACCTATGTTTGCCCTTGGTCCGTTAGGCCTGTCCCTGTTGGGGTCGCGAGTTGAGCTCGAGTCTCAGTCAACCACAGACGCACCCCCTGGAGAGAAACACAAGCACAAGTACAAGCACGAGTGGTTTGCGGTTCTGCTCTGTACCTGTATGGTACTGAACCTAACCTTCTCTTCTACCTACCCATGCAACGATAGCATCAACAAGCAGCAAAAGAACCCACCGCGAAAGCTGTCCCGGTGAGCTCAGCCCACCTTCTACCTCTGTTTGGCATCGGGCGGCATGCCCTTCCCCCGAGAGCTCCAGTGGCCCGGAATAACGGTGCCCTATTTGCCCGCCTGCAGCGAGGTGTCTGGGGGGACATGACCAATTGCATCAGGCCAGAATCTGGTTTACGCAACAGTCATAGCCATGGGGCCATGTGGATATTCATTCAGTGCTTTTGCCCGGACAGAGACCACTGAGTTCCTGAGATAAGAATCGTTGGGCTCTGTGAGGGACAAGTGCCTCGCAGCAATGATAGCCTCGAGTCTCTTACACGGGAAGAGTGTTGAGAGACGTCTCGGAGGCGAATTGAAACATTTCCTCGTCAATTCGTTGCCCAAACCAGTCTTTTATTAATAACTGGCGTTCTGTAACTTTCTGACAAAAGTTGCTGTTAGGTACCTTTTTTGTTTTCCCCCAAAGACGCACACTTCTGCAGGGGCCTCTCACCTCAGTTCACCTGGGCTCAGGCTCTTTCGCATTCACCCGCAAGTCCACCGACCTAAGAGACACGCCCCCCCTGGTTCCACCCAGACCACCGGACACGGCGCCGCAGGACCCCAAGGCCCCCTCTTCCTTACTTCCTTAACCCCCCCAAATCGAAAATCCTCAGGGCCGCAGTCCACTATGACACCGTCACTGAGTACACCCCGTCAGACTCAGTCTGGCAGCAGCACCTCAAGCTCAAGCTCGACTGATAATAAAACGGCGCCGACCTCTTCTTCATCTTTCTCCATCTCTCGTCTCAACTCCATCGTTCGTCACATCTCGCCCAAAATGGTTTCTACTACAAATTTCCCTGCCGAAGTCGTGCCCCAGGCTCCTGAAGACCCTCTCTTTGGTCTCGCACGAGCTTACAAGGCCGACAACAGCCCCAACAAGATCGATCTTGTAAGTAGAAGCCCCTCCAACACAACCTTTTCTTCTGAAGGGTCTCCAAAGTATTATTGCTCTTGCTAACCTACGCTTTCTCATCGTCTAGGGCATCGGTGCTTACAGAGACGAGAACGCAAAGCCCTGGGTGTTGCCAGTCGTTAAGAAGGTATGATCCTCTGGTACACCTCGCTGCATTTCCCCCTTCACGGCATTGCCGGCCATCCTCCCTCAGTTGCATAACCTTTCAAGCCTCAACCCCCCAGATCACCTTCACTTGCATTGCGCTCCACGAACGCATTGCTCTTCAAGCATTCCCCTAACCCGGATGGCGCTTCTGAAGCGGATCCGTTCAAGCTCCAGTCTGCTTCATAACCCTCCCATCATTGCGATTTTCGGGTCATGGGGTCAGCAGCTTTGCACAATGCGCTGCCCGGGTCCTTCTCATGCAAATATGCGTCACAACATGCCCCAACAGCCCCGCCGCCACGACTTGCGCGCAAACCTTGAGTCTTGGAATTTGAGCTAACCCCACGCGCGTCACAGGCTGATGAGATCCTCCGAAACGACCCTGAGCTCAACCACGAGTATGCCCCGATCGCGGGTATTGCCAGCTTCACATCCAAGGCCGCCGAGCTGGTCTTTGGCGCTGACTCCGCTGCCATCTCGGAGAAGCGTTCAACAACATTGCAGACAATCTCTGGTACCGGTGCCGTACACTTGGGTGCTCTCTTCCTAGCCAGGTTCTACAAGAGCAACCGCACTGTCTACCTGTCAAATCCCACCTGGGCGAACCACCACCAGATCTTCAAGAACGTCGGCCACTCAATTGATACCTACCCTTATTTCCACAAGGAGACCAAGGGTCTTGATTTCGAGGGCTTCAAGCAGACTCTCAAGTCTGCTCCTGAGGGATCTGTCTTCGTTCTTCATGCTTGCGCACACAACCCCACTGGCGTTGACCCTACCCAAGAGCAGTGGACTGAGATTGCTGCTCTCATGAAGGAGCGAAACCACTTCCCCTTCTTCGATACTGCTTACCAAGGCTTTGCCTCTGGTGATCTCGTCCGCGATGCCTGGGCCATCCGATACTTTGTCGAGCAGGGCTTCGAGCTTGTTGTAGCCCAGAGTTTCGCCAAGAACTTTGGTCTCTACGGCGAGCGTGCCGGCTGCTTCCACGCCGTTACCGCCCCTGCTGGTGATGCCTCAAACACTATCACTCGTATCGGCTCCCAACTAGCTATTCTCCAGCGCTCCGAGATTTCCAACCCTCCCTTGTATGGTGCTCGCATCGTCAGCACTGTTCTCAACGATCGCGACCTCTTCGCCGAGTGGGAAGAGAACCTGCGCACAATGTCAGGCCGCATCATCAGCATGCGCGATACTCTACGAGCCAAGCTTGAGGAGCTCCAGACCCCTGGTACCTGGAACCACATCACGGATCAGATCGGCATGTTCAGCTTCACTGGTCTGAGCGAGCCACAAGTGATGAAGCTCCGAGAAGAATTCCACATCTACATGACCAAAAACGGTCGTATCAGCATGGCTGGCCTCAACGACAACAATGTCGACTACTTTGCCAAGGCTGTCGACAAGGTAGTAAGGGAGTCTGCTTAGATCTGTATAGACTGAGGTAGAAGTTGAGTGTTTGGTATGAAAGTCATGGGACGTGGTCGAAT